TCCTTTTATCCTTAGCTGTGTCATTAATTATTTAATTCTGTCCACACTGTTTCAATGTTGTTAGGTACCATTGAGTTGATTATGACTCAGTAAGACCATCCTTATAATCTCCACCATGTTTAAACCCACTATTGCAGTCACTCTGTTAGTCCACCTCATACTGGGGTTTCTTCTTTTCTGCTGACACTATGCTTTTCCCAGAGTTGTAGTTGTTGTTATATGCTGTTGAGTCACCTCTGACCCATAGCAACACTATATACAGCATCTCATGCTTTCTCCTGAGCCAGTCTCATTAATTCCAACCCACCAAACTCCATTGCCCTAGTTACTGTATCTATCCATCTTATTCAGGGTATTCCTCTCCTGCGCTGTCCCTGCACCCTTTCTAAGCATGATGTCCTTCTCCAAGGACCAGTCTCTCCTGGCCACATACCCAAATTATGTGAGACAGACCTTCAAAATTCTAGCCTCCAAGGAGAAAGTCCGTTTCTAAACCATCTCTAAGACAGACCTATTTGTTTTCTTGGTAGTCCATGGTATGTTCGAGACTCTTCTCCAGCCCCACAACTTGAGTGCGTTGATTCTTCTGTTATCCTTCCTCATTGTCCAGTTCTCTGAAACATAACAAGTAATTGCGAAGACTATGGCCTCGATTAGGTACACCTTAGTCTCTAGACTGACATTGTTGCTCTTTAGCACTCTGGAGAGACCCATGACAGCAGATTTTCCCAAATGCAATTAATCTTTGATTTCCTGGCTGATGGTGTTAAGAGTGTTGATTATCAGTGCATCTTCTTACTACTAAGTCACTAGAACTGATTATAGTCCAGGAAATTTGGATTTTATTCCTTGAGATGAATAATGTAGATCACTAGATGATTCAACAACAATGAAAATTTACCAAATGCTTTTGGTAAGAGTCATGGTGAAAGCTACAGGGAGTACATTAGAAAGTAGATCTACCTCTGACACATATGTAAGAATATGATATTTTATACTTTGGTGACATCATCCCTGAGATTGCTGATGTATTTTCACTTTCCTCTTAAATCTTGCCAACCCAAAGGATCATGGTTCTAATCCACCAACTGTTCCATGGGAGAAAATTGGACAATCTCCTTCTGTGAAATTTACTACCTTTTAAAAACCTACTGGAGGTTTAGCTATGAGTTGAGTTTAATTCAAAGCTCTAGGACAACAACAATCAATTCAGGAAATTTGTTTAATTCATATTTTAAACTTCATACAGGGAGTGCTGGTCACCTAGTAGTTAAGGAGTTGCACTGCTAAATGAAGGGCTGGTGGCTCAATTTCACCAGCTGCTTTGCTGGAGAAAGACTAACAATTGAAAGACTAACAATCTCCTCTAGCTGGATGTACAGACTCTAAAAACTTCCTTAAGGGTCAACTATGAGTCAGTTACAACTTGAAGGCACATAAAGAACAAAACAACATTATATCTCATACACATTGAATCAAATGAAGAAAGGATACAACCCCAAGGCTCACTTTTCCTGTGCAGTGTTCCCTTGCTCTGTTCTAAGAAGGTCTTCCTGGTCTATGTGTAGATTTCAATTGAGTTCACATAAGTGTTCTGGAATCCCTATTCTTTTCAATGGTATCCATAATTTGTTATTCTCTGTGCAGTGAAATGCCTTTTCATTGTCAATAAAATACAAATATCTTTTTTTTGGAAAAAAAATAAAGAGTGTTGATTTGTGGAGCTGAGCAAGCTGTAATTGTTAATAACCTCAGTCTCTTCTGGTATCATGGTACTGCTAATTGGCCCAGTGGTGAGAATCTTTGTCTTCTTGATGTTGAACTTCAATCCATATTGGAGACTACATTCTTTGACCTTCTACAGCAAGAACTTCGGGTCTTCTTCAATTTCAGCCAGCAAGGTTGTGTCATTTGCATAATATAGATTGTTGATGAGTCTTCCTCCAATCTTGATGCCACATTACTCCTCATAAAGCCTTATTTTCCGAATGATATGTTCTGAATATAGGTTAAAAAGCTATGGGGACAGGATGCATCCTTGATGCACTCCTTTCCTGATTTTGAACCATAAAGTTTCCTTGCTCTGTTCTGAGGACTGCTTCCTGGTCCAAGTATAGGTTTTGCATAAGCACAATCATGTGTTCTGGGATTCCCATTCTTCTCAGTGTCAGCTACAGTTTGTTGAGATCCACACAGTCAAATGCCTTTCCATAGTCAATGAAACACAGCTAAACATTCTTCTTGTACTCCTTGATTTCTGCCAAGATCCATCTGACATTGACAATAATGTCTGTAGTTCCACAACCTCTCATAAATCCAGCTTGTATTCCTGGTAGTGATCTGTCAATGTACTGTTCCAGTCATTTCTGGATAATCTTCAGCAGGATTTTGCTAGTGTGTGGTGTTCATGATATTGTTTGATAATTTCCATACTCTGTTGGGTCACCATTCTAGGAATGGGAATAAATTTGGTCTCTTCCAGTCAGTTGGCCAAGTTGTTGTCCTTCAGATTTCTTGGCACAACTTAATGAGCACATCCAAGGTAATATCTGTTTGTCAAAAAACCTGGGGCTTTATTTTATGCAGCCTGAACTTCCTCCTTCATCACCATTGCCTCTTGATCATCTGTTATTTCTTGAAATTTTTCTGTATCAGCCAATTTTTTTTTTGTACAGTGACTCTGACTTTGTATACTCCTTCTATCTTCTTTTAATGATTCCTGAATCATTCAATATTCTGCCCATAGCATCCTTAAGCTTTGCAAATCATGGCTTGAATTTGTTCTTTAGTTCCTTCAGCTTAAGAAATGTTGAATGTGTTCCCAGTATGAAGTCTTATTCTAAGCACTGTTGTTTCCTGACAATGTACCCAAGGTATGTGAGATGAAGTTTTTATCATCTTTATGTCTTCAGGTACACTCTCCAAGATATATTTGCCTGTTCTTTTGTACACTTCATCAACACTACAACTCAAAGGTGTCAATTCTTCAGTATTCCTTGTTCATTGTTCAACTTTCACACGTATCTGAAGTAACTGAAAATATAATACTTGAGTCAGATGCACTTTAGTATTTCAACTAATTTCTGTTGAGTATGATTTGCCTAACAACAACAATTTTCCAATCAGTAAACACTAACTTCTCAGAGTTCTTTAAGATAGAAACAAAACTAATTTATAAGAAAGAAAGAAAGAAAGAAAGAAAGAAAGAAAGAAAGAAAGAAAGAAAGAAAGAAAGAAACTAATTTAATGAGATCTTTTTATAACCATTTAAAGGGAAGGATTCCCTCCCTTTTCTCTGTTCCTCATAAGTATCTCTCTTTCTTATATATCTAACAAGTAATTGACTAACTTCCTTACACATCCGCATTGTTTACCCAATTAATCAGTAATTTAAAGAACTAGTTGGCTTGAACCTTTCCTTTCTCTTATTCAACAGTCTACAGTGGTAATCACTCCTCTTTTGGTCATAAAACATGGAAGGTGCTAGTTATTTCTAATCTTACCGAGAATTCTCACCAGGCCCAAACATCTGAAAAAGAGAACAGTTGTTCAGATAGAAGAGTAGAGAAGAAACTGTGGGAATTCTTACTCATTGTGCATATTTCCTCTCATCAGCCCCCATAACCTCTATACCAGAGTGACAGATTTGGGAAGTTCACACTCCCTGTCTCTCATATGCATTTCTATGGCCTAGCAATTAAATTTCTGTTTTTTTACTCTGACCCTGTGTCCAAGGTTGGTTGATTTGATGACAGGTGGCAGGACCATGTTTCTCTGGTAGCATATGTATAAAAATCTCTCACTAACTTTTCCGCCAAAGGTTCTATTACCAAGTCGACTAATCTGTTGTAATGGTCATACAAACCTCCCTGGAGTCATGCTCATGATTACAGGCTCTATTAGGGGACAAAACAGGTTAACAGTAAAGAGTAGAAATAAGGTATGATTGTTCAGTCAAGATAATTTAACAGGCACACTCACAGACTCTTTGACTTTGAGCCTCAGGGCTTCAGGTCAGCTTTACAAAGCTCTTTATCTTGCAAATTATGATGTCTCCTCCCCAGCCCTCTAGCAGGCTTGGGGAAATCAACCTCTGTTCCACGCCCTCTCTGGCTCTGGCTCCAAGCGGTGGAGATCCTTTGTCAATTATCTCTCCTGGGCCTGTGGATTTCTTCTGCTGCTATTGAAGGGCCATGAATTCTGCAGTGCTATGATACTGATCTCTCTCAGTCTCATACAGGAATCTCTCTGGTCCTGAAGGGTGTCTTGCATTCTCAGCTTCTTTCTTGCTTGTGGTGAGAGTTTGATCTTTTGCCTCTAAACTGCTTGATTAAAACAGCAGGATGGGCAAATTAAACAATCCTGTCATCAGTCATCTACATATCTTGTTTTCAGGTTCTGCTCAGCCATATGACAAACGTCAAAACCATTTGGCTTGAAAGCCATTTTCAATAATAAATTCACTGTATCTTATTACAAATAAACATCTTTCTCATATTCTCTGCTTTCAGCCAAGATCCATCTGACACACAATATAATATTTCTTTAGCCACAGTCTTCTGAATCCAGCTTGAATTTCTGGCAGTTCCCTGAAGATGTATCACTCCAGGTATTTTTAAATATTTTCAGGAAGACTCTTCTTGTGTGTCTGTTATGTTTGTTGTACATAGGGTTGCAATGAGATGGGTCTGTCTTAATGGCACCTAACAACAACAAGCACAAGGAAGAAATCTTAATTGCCTTTTCTCATGTAGCCTCTGAAATCAGTGTCAATTCTGCTACATTTTACTGGTTTAAGAGGACAGATGGCCAGCTCAGGCTCAGTGAGAGGGAATATAGACTTCACCTTTTGATGAGAGTACTATCACAGGATTTGTATGTTATGTCTTCAATTTATGAACGCCTCATGAACAAATAGTTTCTTATAAGAAGTAATTGTGCCATCTAGAAAAAAAATAGCATGATGTTTAAATAATAGAGTCAACTTTTTAATATTTCAGAAGCTTTGGATATGCTTTATGCTTCCCTGGACCAAGCCTACTTTGATTACGATCAACTTCCTGTCTTATTTTTTGTTGCGGAATCAGTTTTACATAGACTCTGTTGTGATGCTTTTCTAACTGCATACTTATATTCAGTTGAAATAAAGCTTGCAAAGGTATGTTATGAACTATTTTATTTTTTATTTCTTATATGTACTATATGCAATCACATGTTATCAGTTTTAAGATCTAATTAGGGTATTCCAATTTATGGTACTATATGCTCTTATATATTATTTTAATTTTGTGTAAATATGGGTACATTAAGTTTTGGTAGCCAAACTGAGACAGTTTGAAGAAATATAGTACTGTGGACTGTGTAAGAAAATAATTAATTGAAACCCAAATTTGTACTCGCTGTTTAAAGACACAAACGTTTTTTTCTGAAGGACTTTCTTTTGCACTTTCTTTTCCACTTAAAAATTTGGACAGATAAACCCTATGTGGTTATCTAATTTGTTACAGTTGTTGTGTGCTGTCAAGCAGGAACTGACTCATAGCTGACCCTCCAGTGGGTTTTCAGAGGCAGTAAAATGCCTAGAGATATAGCTCATCTAACTCCTGTAGAGCAGCTGGTGGAGTCAAACCTAGTGCCTTTGGGTTGAAAGCATACCTCCTGACCACTAGGCTGCCATAACTCCCTAATAACAAATTTTCTAATAACAATTTTTTGCTAATTTATTATTAACAAATTTACTAATAACACATTTTATTAATCTGCAATTGTTGTTATGTGCCATTGAGTCACCTGTGACTCATGGTGACTGTGTATAAGTCTGAATTCTGCCCTGGCCTGAGCCAATCTTGCTGACTCCAAGACATACCTGTAACCATTGCCTTAGTTACTGAACCAATCCATCTCATCTGGGGTCTTCCTCTCCTGCACTTTCTTTCCTTCCACCCATCCAAACATGTTGTCCTTCTCTAAGGATTGGTCTCACCTGGCCACTTGCCCAAAGTATGTGAGATGGAGCTTTAAAATCCTAGCCTCCAAGAAGAAACTTAGTTTCACCCTCTACAAGAAAAACCTATTTTTTTTCTCTTTGTGATCCATGGTATATTCAAGACTCTTCTCCACCACCACAACTCAAAGACATAAATTCTTCTTCTGTCATCCTGAGTCATTTTCCATCTCTCTGAAGCATAACAAATAACTGTGAAGATGATGGCCTGGGTCGGGCACACTTTAGTCTCTAAGCTGACATCGTTGTTTCCCAGTTCTCCAGAGAGGTCCCTGCCAGCAGATTACCTAATACAATTCCTCTTTTGATTCCCTGACTGCTGGTGCCAAAAGTGTTGATTGTCGAGACCTGCAAGCTAGGTTTAGAAGAAGTCATGTCACTAGAGACATTATCATTAATGTCAGATGGATCTTGGCAAAAAGCCTTGGCAAAAAGGTTACCAGAAGAATATCTGTAGTATCGAGTAGTAGGCTGAACACTGTGACACTGATGTGTCAAATGCGTTAATGGTTGGCTACCCAATGCGGACAGAGAGTAGCGTGGAGCTCCCCATTTAAAACAAGCTTGGAAGGAGGAGTGGCATCCACTTCCATAACAGCTTGCCTCCGGAAACCCTATGAACCTGGAGAGGATGAAAGGCACCCAAGCATCGAGGACTCTTCTTCATAGGGTCACTATGAGTGGCCTACGACTCGATGGCTCTTAACAACAACAGCATTGAATAGTAGATCCTATGAATGAAAGACCTGTACACTTGTATAACTTTAATCATTTCTCCAGGTTTATAGGGTGTCCTATAGGAGGCAAGCTATTTTGGAAGTGGTTGCCACTCCTGCTTTCAAATTTGTTTTTATCTGGAAGTTCCACCAAACACTATCCACCATGGGTAACCATTATCTCATTTCACACATCAGTGTCACACAGTACTTAGCATCACAGCAACCACGAGTTACCTCTTTATAGCAAATGGACAGACCAGTGTTATACCACTTAGAAAAATGTTTGACCAAAACCGATTAAAACCAGGCCTGAGGGGCACCCACCTTTAGCTTGGTAGCATAACTTTCTATCCACTAGGGCAACAGAGCTGTCTCTATGCTGTTGTTAAGTGCCATCAAGTCGTTTACGACTTGTAGAGACCCTATGAATGAAAGACCTGAACTCTTGTATAACTTTCATCATTTCCCCACGTTCCTATGTACAAAGCACGTTTCTAAATTCTTTAGCTGTATTACTTTATTTACTTCTAACAACTTAAGGATACTGCATAATTTAAAATCGAAGTAAGTGTGCACCGTTCCTTCATCATACCATTAAATCTGCATGCTTAGCAAATACTCTGAGAAGCTTGATGATTATATGAAGAAGAATGTGTCATTGGGATTGGTGGTGCAGTTGACACAATCTTGCTTGCTGAAAGTGAAGAAGACTTGAAGTACTTACTGAAGATCAATGAGTATAGCCTTCAGTAGGGATTACACTAGATCATAAAGAAAATGAAAATTCTTACAACTAGACCAATGAATAACATCATGCCAAATGAAGAAGGTTGAAGTTGTTAATGATTTAATTTTACTGGATCTACAATTTGTACACCAATGTTCATAGCAGCATATTATTCACCATCACCTGAACATGGAAACAGCCCAAATGTCCAACCACAAACAAATGGATTGAGAAATTGTGGTACATTCACACAATGGAATACTATGCAGCACTCAGGAGCAATAACTTAGTAAATTATTACTTAACTTGGGAGGGACTGGAGAGCATTATGCTGAGTGAACTAACTCAGTCCCACAAGAATAAATATTGTATAAAACCTTTATTGTAGA